TTTCTACACATTTGTTAAGATCATCAATCAAATTGTCACACTCTTTATTGTTACTTTCAATAAATGGAATCAAACTGTTAACTTTTTTAACATCATCAGAATGAGTATGATGAATTCCCTTTTTAAAACAATCAAAACAATTTAATCAAAATCCTGTACAAAATTCATGATAACAAATAAAATCAATCTCTTCCTTATGGTTATCTTCTTAACATTTTAACTTCAAACTTGCTTATTAAATCATTTTTATATTTTATATTAAATGTATAATCATTCTTAACCTCGTATTTCTATTATCCTAATTCTATTAAATTACTTCACATTAAATATTAATTTACTTAAAAACAATTCAACAAATGCACTTCTTCAACGAAATTTCAAACTAAATTACAATACAATACTATTCATTCATTAATATACTTCCATTCTTATTTTCCTTATATCTAATTTCAAACAATAATTTTCTAAAAATTCTAATTATAAATTGATTCTTTCTTATCTCACATTAATTTATTACTTGAAATGAACAAAATTATCAAATTATTAAGATAAAATAAAATATACAAACAACAAGTCCAACCCTTCTATAAAAATTTATTTGTAATTTTCGTAACCCTAGGGATCATAACAATGATTTTAATTCTTATAAAAGATTTTATTATAATATGAACCATACACCCCCACAGATTATGACAAAACTACTTTTAAAATTGAATAATATTTTTATTTGTTTCTCTAGTATTTCTTTTTGGCCAGAATATTAATTTTTTTGAACCGACTTCTTGTTATAAGTTATATATTTTCTGATGAAACAGAGGAAGAAATAAAAATAAGCTTCAATTCTATAAATAGTGCTTTTGTAAAGGAATTTTAAGACTATTCTACATTTTATTGAGGAGATTGTTTGTAACTAGTGATCTTTAGCTGAATTTTGTCTAGTTCTGGAGTGAGATGTTCAATATTTAACCCCTTATATCCATTTCTATTTAATTCAATCTCAAAAGACAAAAGTTAGAATTTTTATGTTATTGTAATCTTTTAAATAAATATATCATAGTTTACAATTTGCACTATATTAAATAAACTGCAACTACACTAAAACTAGATTCTTTATCTCTTGCTCTTTTACTTGCTGTCTTAAAATTATTTTCCCTGTTTAACCAACAACACAATTTCTTTGCTTCTATTCTCAAAAGCCTTTAAGAGTAAATTGATCATTTATTAATTCTTTTTATATATCAATCCTCAATTGTAAATTTGAGTATAATTTTGGATTGAACTGTAAATTCAATATGAAAATTTTATTCAATAATCATTTGTTCAAACATTTAACATAAATTTAAAGAAAAAGAAACCTAATTTCTGTAAAATTTTTCTTTTCTTGATAATTCATTAAGATAATATTAAAATAAATTCATGCTATTGATCCTAAATATGCTTGTTACTTATAAAATAAAGGTAGATTGTTTCACATTTTAATTAATAATTAATAGATGAATGCATATTAATCTATTAATTTTATATATAAAATGTTTAAATCAAAATGAAGATTCAATCACTTAGATTGATAAAGCATCAGTTATTGATCCTAAGCATATTTATTCCTTATTTAATTAAGGTACGTGATTCATAATTACATAATTAGATTAATTTTTAAGAAATTTTTAATCATTATTAGATGAATATGATTATGCAATCATATGGTTGGATAAAGCAATAGATATCGATGCTAATCAATGTGATTCATTATTCTGTGAAAGTAGATTGACAAATAATTAATTGGTAGGAGAATTTTTATGAATTAAATTAATCATTGTTTGA